TGAAGGCGCTGGGCGAGCCGCTGAGCGCCGCGCAGCTGCGGCGGCTGGAGGAGCACCGCTACACCGCGGTGGGAGAGTCGCTGTTCGAGCCGCCGCTGCAGCTTTACTGGACCTGGCTGCTCCAGTGGATCCCGCTCTGGATGGCCCCCAACACCATCACCCTCATCGGCCTCGCCATCAACCTGGTCACCACCCTAGTGCTCATCTTTTACTGCCCTACGGTCACGGAGGAGGTAGGTAGGGCTGGCCGCCCACCGGTGTTCCCTCGGAACCCTTGGGGCCTCCTTCCCCATCCGCCCCACTATAGGCGTCGGGGACGAGGGGAGACCCTTTGTTGGCGGAGCATCCTCCGGGTCTCCGAGGGAGGCGCGGACACGACCGGACCGCTGTCCCGTGGCGCTGTTCACGTTTGGCCTCCCCGGGGCTCCTGGAGACTGTCGGGCCGCTACCCCAATCTCGTGACCGCGCTGAGCTTCCCTGGAGGGGGCTGTCAAGGTCACTGCCCCAGACCTGTGCCTGCCCACTTCGTCCCCGGGGCCATGGGCCGACTGGAAGGTTGACTGTAGGGACCAGCAGCCTGTACTTTGCACATTGGGGGATTAAACACCCGCATCGCCATTCTGTCAGGACTTGTGGATGGGTTGGGTAAGCCCAGGATGCCCTTTGGTACTTCGTAATCTTCTGTTTCTCAAAGGCGGTACCTAGTGATCCTGAAATTACCCGTAGCATAACTGATCAAAGATAAGTTACTTCTGGTCGTTAACTTCCTCGTTGGTTCATTGACTTTTTCAGGAAAAACAAACAAGATATAGGTGATTGTCCTCACAGCTATCCAGACTTAGAGATTATAAAAGCCAACCCATTTTATTAGTTGTAATTATATCTAACCCATGTGTAAAGTAAGAATAATAAGTAATGTGGGCTTTGGACGGTGGTGGTAAGAAGTGGTTCCCTGGGCTGAGTGTCGAGGGCACAATAGCACGGCGAAAGTGCCTTGATACGCTCTAGGGGGTGCATATTGCATGCAGATTCTGCGCCATTACTTTCTTTAATCTCCCTCCATAATTACATGTAAACATAGATCGTGCCCAAAAGTGAGGGTTGAAGTTACAGTAACAGGAACCGGAGTACAAGAGAAATAGTTCATGCTCTGCATCCGTGCACATACTTTTTTAAAGGTCTTAGTGGAGGCTGCAGTTTTAACACATCTTGCCTGCTAGTGACTGACTGTGTCCTCCTATCTTCCTTAGCAGACATTCCATTGTTACTTGTTTTCATGTAATTTGAAAAGGACTAAGCTGTTTGGGGTTTGGGATTCTGGTCATTCTGGAACCCCCCAGAAGCACCGTATCATGATGAAGGATGGCAGGCTTGCAAGTGAAGGACTTGGCTTCCCATCAGCCTCCACCCCGGCAGACCTTTCAGGTCTGTTTTCCCATGTTGAAAATAGAAATAATGCCTGCCGGGCCAATTTCCCAAAGGTGGCAGTGAGGACCGGATGATGCATGCAGATAAATGTAGGCCACTGCACTTTACTCAGCAAATTAAAATGATCCCTCAACATACTAAAAATGCACTGTTGGTAAAACAGTATCGTGAAGCGTGGGTAGTGAAATTTGGCTTTGAATTGGGCGTTGATTTGGCTGACAGTCTTGGATGTTTCTGGTATCGGTCAACTAAGCCATGAACTTTGATGTTATTTACCGTCCATTTGCTGAGCACTTAGAAGAATGGACAAAGAAGTCTGAGGGCTTTTGTGTAGGGTTGAAGGGGGGCGGGCTATGGATGAGATAAGTTTGTGATTAACTTATAGGCCCAGACGCATTTTTAAAATGGCCCAGGTAAGAGAGCTAAGGGGTGAATGAGAGATAAACTATGAGAGATTGTGAAGTGCATGCCATTGGATCCTGCATTTGCCTCTGAGTGGCCAAAGAAAGAGGAGGAAGAGCATTGCAGGAGCCACATTGTTTTTTAATTAAGATGCAAATAATAAAGTGTTTTAACCATAGTTTCGGGCTGGAGAGATGGCTCAGAGGTTAAGAGCACTGGCTGCTCTTCCAGAGGTCCTGAGTTCAATTCCCAGCACCCACATGGTGGCTCACAACCATCTGTAATGAGATCTGGTGCCCTCTTCTGGCCTGCCGGGATACATGCAAACAGAACACTATACAAAATAAATAAATAAATCTTAAAACAACAACATAGTTTCTGGATATTTTTGCTGTAATAAATGACCCAGCTCGATAAAATTCAGACCCACGTTGGTCCGACTGCGAAGTATACATCCTTTTTGTTGCCTGTGTGGCATGGAGGAAAACACGGGCATTTTATATGACGCCAGTGTGTGAAGGGCCTTCACATTGGTTGCGGTTTTTACCTTTACCCACCTGAAGAGACCAATGAGTTTTCCCTTCCCACCGTCTCGGAATTCCTTCCTGCCAGCCTGTAGTCACTGGTATATATTTTCATAAGAGAAAATTGAGGTTGACAAAGATTAAATGACCTAGCTTGGAAGTTTCTGATTCTTAGACTTGAAGATTCATAGTGCTTTTTCACATGCTGTTCACATGCTGCACTGGGGCCTTGACATGTTAGGCAAGAAAGCTCTGCCGCTGAGCAGCATTTTTTAAGTTTTTTTTTTTTTCCCCCAATTTTGAGATAGGGCTCACTTAGCTGCTCAGACCGACCTGGAGCTCAGTAGCCATGCACTTATTTCTAGGACGTGGTTGGGAGTGAAGGAAGCTGGTTGAAAAGACCGTGATTGCCAGTAAGTTTCCGTAATGGTTCCCCCTTACAGAGTGGTACTCTACAGACAATCCTTTCCATCCTTTCTGCTCAGGGATCTTCCTGTACTCTAGCTGAACAATTTGCCACGGCAGGAATCTTCCTTTTCATTCCCCTTCCTTCTTCACGTACCCAGTTACCTACCTGTCTTTCAGTGCTCAATTTTAACACCGTCTCCCCTAACACTACCACCCCGTGGGCTTGTTTCTGCCTTCTGAGTCAAATCAGTTGCTTCGTCTTTTGAACTCCCACAATAACGAGGGTCATGTACAGCCCGTTTATTGCATACCAGGCACTTTTGTTATTATTGGAATTTTCCCAGGGGCCTGCCCTGAGAAGATTTCTCCCAGAGTCCTGGGGAAGACGCTGTGCCCGGCATGGGATCATCTGAGGGAAAAGAATCTATGTACACCATGCTCTTCTGTCCGCCCATCCATTTTATTTCTCTAAGACAAAATTGTATCTACACAGTTTCAGTTCCAATCTGACACTCAGTTCCTCTCTGTCCCTTCTCTTCCTGTCCTCTCATAGCCTAACTAAGCTCTTATCTTTGTCCTCCGTTCCTCCGTCTTCCATCTTTCCTTCCTCTCATGCTCTTTTGACCTGATTCAAATCCACCTACCATCTGCAAAAACTTTTCCTTTGCGGCTTTCTCCTCAGACCGATCCACTCTCACCCCAACCCAGAGTCAGGAATTCTCCCCAGTCTTCACTCCACCTGGTTATACAGACCCCCTTTTATTCTGAGTCAGTAGCTCTGCATTGCTACTAGGCCTGTGAGAGAAAGGGATGGTCTGAGCTTCATATGCACAAGAAATAAAGCTATGCATTTACACGTCCTCCTGTCTCCTAGGAGGCAGGTGTTGTCTCTGTAGGGGTGTTACCTACTACAGATCAGCAGTAGGTCTGAGACGCTCATACTGTTTGCTTTTATGGCCTAGGAGTTACGGGCACACAAGAAATTGATAGTAAGAAACAGCTGATATATTAAAAGCCAAATAATGTCAAATATTCCTTGATATTTGACTTCTCCTCTAGAAAGATTCCTTGATCCTTCTAGGTATAGCTTTATTGTATACAGCTGAATCTCTCTTTCATGTCCTTGCGGCCTGGAGCATGTTATGTTCTCATTGAGTCCTGTCAGCACTGTCTCATGAAGAAGACAGTGGATATCCCCACTTCATAGATGTGGGAAGTGAAGAGACATTGTCTCCTCGGATTAAGTAAGTGGGAACTAGGATTCCACACTAGAAAAAAGCCGTGCTTCTGCTGCTGCGGGCCTCTGTAGTGCTCCAGGAGAAAGTCTCCGTTTCTTGTTGTTGTTAACATGTCTTCCTATTGAGCAGGACAGCCTGCCAGAGTTCAGTTCAGAGCACAGTGTCTTGCCATAGTGTTTGCTAAGTGAGTGCACAGTGAAACAGGGTCTGTCATCTTGAGAGATGATGTTCTTGAACTCCCACTCCGTTTTAGCTGTTTCTGTTGTTTGGTCTGAGAGGAAGCAGATGTTAGGGTGAATGTGTAGAACCCTTCCCCTCCCCTTGACGAAGCATTTACCACTCTTGAGTATATAGTCCTTGGGCTCCAGTCCTTGGCTGTCTCTTCCTAAAGTAACATCATAGTTTCTTAGAACATAAACAAGGCCTGCAGCCTACTTAATGAACTTCCTAAGTGTGTGTGTGTGTATGTGTGTGTATGTGTGTATGTGTGTGTGTGTGTATGTGTGTGTGTGTGTATGTGTGTGTATGTGTGTATGTGTGTGTGTGTGTGTGTGTGTGTGTGATAACTTGGTGGTTCAAAGCTAGCTTCAGCCTTCTAGGGTTACCAGAATCAAACATCCTTGCTTCTGGCCACTGAGATACCAGTATTCAGGAGAATGAGCACTGGTAGAAAGGAATCAGGTTTATGCACAGCCGGCCCTGAAGGACCTGGAAGGGCTGGTTCTTTGAAGCTCTGTTTTCCCTGTTGGGGCATTTCTGTGGGTGAGAAGGAGGCAGTGAGGCTGGGCTTTAGGCAGAGTCTTGTTCTCCAGAGCAGTGTGGTGGACTCGGACCTACCCTTGGGAAGAGTGCTATAAACGCCATCTGGGTTCTGGAACTCTAAAGAGTTACCGGTTAACAAGTGGATGGGGCTTCTTTTTAACCAGAGGTGCAGAAGGGCAGAGAGGGTGGGGAGCCCCAGCTGCAGTGGCCTTCCCTTATTTACTTAACTCTGATTATTTTATATGAGCATGGGTGAGAAGGTGTCAGACCCCAGAACTGGGGTTACAGTTTGAGCTGCCATGTGGGTGCTGGGAATTGAACCTGGGTCCTCTGGAAGAGCAGCTGGTGCTCTTAACCACTAAGCCATCTCTCCAGCCCTACAGTTGCATTCTCTACTACAAAATATTTCCATGTCCTTTTTTTTCTCCTTTTGCCTAATATACGTTGTGGTGTGATTCTCTGTTACTTACT